TCTTCTCTTCCCATCAGACCATGCTGAATCGCTCACTATCACATGTTGCATAAGCATTCATAAACTTGGTTTCTTTGTCCTTGTTTTTGTTTTGTATTGCCCTGCTGCTCCAATACCCACAAGCTTAACAGGAGGAGCTTGTGCATCAAATGGGGAATTTATGCATGCGTGTTCTACCCTTGTTTTTTCCAATGGTAGCCTGAATACTAGACATTTTAAGAAATATTTGTTTTATGATGACTACCTTTATGCATTTTCATTCATGTTGGCTCTAAACAGCTTGCCTGATTGCTTTAAAAAGAAACACTAGTGTTGTGTGTTAGTATTAGCCCAATCTGGAAGAGGAGGCCAGTTAATAAACACCCTTCCAATGTAATTCTACACATGTGACCAAGATACGTATGAGGTGGCTACAATTTCTCCCATGGTAAAGATGAACACTGCACTGAAATAAAGATCTGCTGTAAAGATATTCATTCTCTTCTGCGACAATGTGGCCACATTGCTGGGAGCACAGAAAACTTTCTCTTTCACTATCGGATCTGCTCAGGGTATAATTGGATTAAATTGTTTCAAATAGAAAACAGAACTTTGTCTTCTTGCCTGCATCCAATGATAGAATCAGAAGTACCGACTATGCTGCTTTTGCAAAGAGTTTACAATAAATGTAAGCTGTCTTAAATCAGACTTAGACTCTGCACTGAGAGTGGGTAGCATTGTTCTCCTATATGAGGTTTAAAACTGATCTTTATTTATTTTATTTGTCAAGCGATTATAAGATAACAGGTATAAGTATAAACATAGTTATGAATACATGAAATGGATACATATAAGAAAAATAAAAAGAAACAATAGGACAGGGATGGTAGGTACATTGGTGCGCTTATGCACGCCCCCTACAGACCTCTTAGGAAAGCGGTGAGGTCAATAGTAGACACTCTAAGGTTAAAGTTTTGGGGGTTTGGGGAAGAAACCACAGAGTCAGGTAGAGTATTCCAGACATTGACCACTCTGTTGCTGAAGTCATATTTCCTGCAATCAAGTTTGGTGCTGTTTACCTTGAGTTTGTATCTATTGTGTGCTCTTGTATTGTTATGGTTGAAGCTGAAGTATTCATTGACAGGTAGGACATTGCAATATATAATTTTATGTACTTTACTTAGATCGGACCGAAGGCGGCGTAATTCAAGGTTTTCTAGGTCTAGAATTTCAAGTCTAGTGGCATAAAGTATTCTGCAACGAGTAGAGGAGTGGAGAACTCTTCTTGTGAAATATTTCTGGACTTTCTCAATTGTATTAATATCAGATCCGTAATGTGAGTTTCAGACTGATGAGCTGTATTCAAGTATTGGTCTAGCAAATGTTTTGTATGCTCTAGTTAGTAGTGTGATATTACCAGAGAAAAAGCTACGCAGGATTAGGTTAACAACTCTTAATGCCTTTTTGGCTGTGTAGTTACAGTAGGCTTCGACTGCTTTGTAAAATGTTATATAAAGGAGCCAGACTGATGATTTGCATTACAAGTATCTTTCCACACTCATTTGCATTACAAATAGTATCTTTCCACATTCAGTAATTTAATTTGCCATGGTAATCCTAGGGGTAATGGAATATTGCCAGTGCAAATATTCTAATCAAAGACAATCTTAGCTTCAACATATATGTCTTCTATAAGGTGAAGGAAAAACATTATGAATATCTGTGACTAAAAAGACTAAGCCTGAAGTTTATGAATCCTGCCTAGCCCTAGCATGGTTTCTACATATTTAGACTAGTATATTTCAGTAAGTTAAAAAGGAACCTATGGTCTATAGGTAAGTTGCAAATAAGATAGACAATGTAATATGGTTTAGAACGTTATTGTAAATAAAGGCAGGATAAAAATGTAATGAATAAATAAATGCCATATTTAACCAAAGGGGAAGTGAGAGAACTTCTGAACTGGGAAAGATAAAGGACTTTTCTCGATTAGGGAAACATTATGCTGAGTTTAAATTGTTTCAAACTGATAGACTTTTGCCTTCTGATATGTATCTAAAGTTGGTTTTTCTATGTGTAAAACATTTTATAGGAAAAATGATTTGCATTTTATTTAGTTCGTTACACAGTTAGTTAGTTTTTATCCCACTGCTATTTTTATAAATAACTCATGGCAGCAAACGTACTCCCAGTGAGATGGGTTGGCCTGAGTGAGAGCAATTGGCCCAAAGTCACCCAGCTGGCTCTCATGCATAAGGTCTCCCATTTTCTAGCCTGATGACTTAACCACTAGACCAAACTGGTATACCCTATCTCAAATATTCCCTCTTTATTTCTTGGGTCAATATCACTTCAACATACATTTCCCTAGTTTCACTCAGAAATAAAGTAAAAATGGAAAATGAGGTACTTCTTATCTGTCTTAGAATAATCCAAATGAGCCTTTGATATCCGGTATCCCTTAGGATGGCACAGAATTTTGGATATATTGGCAACAGTTTTTGGATTCAGTGGACTTAACACCATTGATCCATCCTGACTGCAAGTCATAATCCATATAAATATTCAACTTTGGAAAAAAAAATTCCAAAATAAATATTTAAAATATCACTTTGACTTAACCTTATTGAGCATAAATAAGGAAAGTTAATATATAAAGTTCAAATGTGAGTTGGCTTGGCCTAGTTCTTGGCCTATTAAGAACAGGGAGAGTAGCAAAAAAATTCATAAAATTTTCACTCTTCAGTTTTTCACGATTTTTAAACATAGACTCTTCTTATCTGCTGAATCATGCAGTCCCAGGAGCACTGAACCATGGCATTCTCTAGACTGCATTAATCAGTACTAAACTAGTAACGTCTCAAAGAAAGCCAAAAGAGTGGAGCAAAGGCTGAAAAGTAGCTGCCAGAACATTGAATGGATTGGCCAATAATATTTCTACTTTTACAGAATTGGTAAAGTTCCTCATTTATATACATGCCACCCTCTCCAGAAATCACAGCATCAAAAGAATTTTTTCCAATAATTTATTGACAGTTGTAGTGGAAAAACTTTAGAAGTAATTTTGTCCAGCCTTATTTATAGCACACCCTGATTTCACAGGACAATTCAGGACAAATTCCATCAATGTATATTGAATGTATTGTACCAATAAACAAGGGTGAGGGCAACAAACTTTCACTCTAACTTCAAGGAGCAATTGAAGTACAGTTCAATCTTTCTGATGAAAAGAAGCCTCCAGCAGAGTGAAGAATTAAAAATAAATGTGATGGAATTAGTTGAGATGAAACTGAAGTGAGGATATTGTGCAAGAGGTATTTGGTATGGGAATGATGAAAAAAGTGAAAAATAATGAAGCTAAAAATGCAGATGGTTATGATTGGAAGAAGACTAGCCATACAGTTTGTTTCTAGCTAAGCAATGGGTTTAATGTTTGTGATGATTGTGCATAGGCCATTGAAAGAATAGCATTATGGTACCAGTCTGTATAGGGAAAAATAGCAGAAGGAATGCAATGGAAAAACTGCAAAAGTATGCGTTTGCTAAGTATGGCTGAGGAGATTTTGGGCAGAATTTTGATCAAAAATGGTTATGAGAGGAGACAGTGAGCAAAACATGAGAAAGTCAATTTGTGCTTTCTTTGAGCAAGGGAAATGATCTTTAGCAGGTCATTGAGAAATGTGAGGTTTATTGTACATATTTTTAGGGTAGAAGAAAGCTTATGACAAACAGAATCAGCTTGAATTGTGGAATGCTTTCTATTAATATGGAGTTAAAAATGGTTGCTGAATGTGATATAAGTGGTACTTAATGGTAGTAAACCATGCATGCAAATAATTGTTATACTTAGTGAATGATACAACACTGACCTTGGAGTAAGGCAAGGGTGTGCAATGTCCCTTTGTTAATGTATTTACTGTAAGAAGATGTGCATAAGAAATATTAAGGATAATACTAGGGGCATGATATTTTGAGGCATGAATGTACATGTATTCAAAAGGTAAATGAGAACCCAAAAGGTTTGCAAGGTTTGTTAGATAAATGGTATGATTCACAACTGCTGATTTGAAAAATTAATGCACAGAAGAGTAAGGTAATGGTGAGTGTGAGGAGAAATGAAGTGAATGATTGCAAGTGATACATAAACAGTCAAAAAAAATAATAATAGAACAGTAAAATTATACGGGCCATCCCCAGAGACACTGGTTTCAAAACGGCAGATGTAACCCGCTATCAAAGCCTGCTCTTTTTTAAATGTGCCTTGCACGTATTACACACAAATAAAAGGGGTCAGGTATGGGATGATTCATTTGCACCCACTGTTTTGAAGCTAATGAGTATGGGGAAATACCTTGAAGAAATGTTAAAATATGCAAATAGATGGTACATGACCTATTGAGAGGAATGGATATTTGTCTAAAGAAGTGAAAGCGGCTATGTTTAAGTGCATGCTGTGGCCTACTTTGTTAGATAGAAAAGTAGACTTGAGCATATTAAAAGAAAGAAACATAAAATGGAGCACGGTGAGAATAGATTGTTTAATGGGGTGGAAGGGAAGGTGGGTTTTGAATTATTATGGACACTATAAAAAGTGAGTAAACACTGCAAAAGAAATATGTTGAAGTATCTTGCTCAATTCAGTAAGAACTGAATTGTGAATTAAATACATTTAAAAGAGTAAAGGGCTAAGGGGGAAAATGAAGAAAATAAACATCAGATGGGGTTGATTAGATCCTCAAAAAGAAAGGTGAAAACCTAAAACAAAGAGCAATGTCTGAAGTAATGTATGGTTGTGTTGGAAACAATGATAGTCTGTAAGGCTAGATAGGAAATACACAATTATATTAAAGAATTAAATGTAGAAGGACTATTGGCACTAATCCCAAATCTGCTTCTATCCTCAGCTATCTTCTTGCTTGATTAAGTTCTCACTCTTTAACTCTAGTTCTGGGATATGCCCATGATATCAAAGAAATGACATTTGTCTCTCTTCATCAAAATACTACCATATTATTTGTTACCTCCAATGGCTCCAGCAACAAAATCCATCTGCACCACGTCAGCTGTGTTTGCTCATCCAGGAAGAAAATATTTGAAGAAAAATCTGTTTTTCTAGGAAGGAGAGAACTCTGGAGAGAGTTCTTGAACAATAGGTGCTGGAGACAGCAGCACCAGCTCTGTCTTCACTTCTCTCTGAAAGTGAATTGAAAGAGGTCTATCACCAGAATTTGGAAATTGTCCCCAGAACGTGGGCAATTCATAACGTCATAGCAGCCAGCTGAAATTGTTACAAAGGACAGAGACCTTTCTTCTGGTGCCTTTTGCCCTGCAAACTGAAGTGTTAACTCTGAGCTGAAAGAATTCCAGATAATGGATACGAATTCTTTTAACTTAAAAAGTGAAATCCTGTTTCTTGATTTGCTGAATCTGTTGCCCAACAGAGAATGAGATACAGATCAATCTGGTATTCAGGTGAGATGGCTCTAAGTCAGGGGTGGGCAATTAATTTCTGTCGGGGGCCACATGGAAAATCAGATCTGCGTTCGAGGGCCGAACCAATTTTATCAAAGGCCATTATAAAGGGCCCATTATAAAAT